CGTGCTGCAAATTCAAAGGGGTTCTTGTGCCAAACACTGGGTGACCGTGCTCGAAGCTCTCTCTTCCTGAAGTAACTTCACACTTTGAAGCTGAACAGCAGAATAAGGCCAGAGATCAGACCAAAACATCCAGAACATCAAGAGAAACCAAAGAAGTGGTTAAATGTGAACATCAAGAAAAAGGACAAAAAAACCCGCAACATGAAAAAGTGTTCGTCATAACCCTTGATGGCTGCTTTATCTACACTGCTGCTGTGGTAGGCTCTTTGGAAATGTGATGCTCTGAAAGTATAAAGGAGACAGGATTTGTAGGGAAAAGTAATATCTTTTATTAGATCATCCGATATAGTCAGGAAAAAGAGTCAAGCCTTGGGCACACAAAACCTTCTGGAAAACTTATCTGACTTTTTCAATTACATTGATATTAACTACCTGCAAATCCCACTTTGCTTTGGCTACTTCCAGACACCATGAACGTAGCCTCTGTAGGTGAACACTTCTCTACATTTGAAGGGGTTTGTCACCCCCATTCTCACACAGTTTGCTGAAGCATTTTTTGTTGCCTAGCCAACAAAGTAAGAGTAATTACTGTATGTATCACACACTGCTTCATCTCACTTATTTGTATGTTTTCACTACTTTCAGGCTGGTTTGTCCAAAACCATGCAGCAAAACTTGGAGCACCAGGAGGCAAACCCTCACTCATGACTTTGCTTTAACCACCTGGAAATATTTTCTCCCTTGTAGGCTGAAAGCTGTGAGAAAATCCCGCTGACAACAGCGAAGGAGAACTGCTTAATATCCTTATATATTAGAGAGTTTAAACCAGGTCTTACATGCAGTCTCACAAATAAGTCATTAATTTTACTATTGGGAATGTATCACAGCCCTAGTAATTTTTATACAGAGGAAATAGATTAGGAGACATTTTTCTCCTCATATAGATGGAATACTTCCCCCTGTTCTTGATGGTCTCAAAACCTTAAAGAGCCAATGAAAAGTCTGCCAAAATCCTGTCAGGAATTATCTAATCTTTAAGTATTTTTCAAAACAAGACAAAAATAACACACTGAATGAAAATATTTCTCTTTTTTTCAGTAGAACTGAAAACTAAAAATGTTCTGTTAATGTTTTTGTCTAAAAAAAAAATATTGGGGAAAACTGCACAAATTGCAAGATATCACATTGCTCCAAAACTAAAGCACTGAAATAAGAATTTTTCTTCATTTATTCCACAGCTGAAACAATTAAGATTTCACACAAATTTAAGTATTGTTTCAGTCAAATCAAATGGGTACTTTTTTGAGAAAACCCCCCAGACAACAACCATAACATATGCAGTATTTCACCCATAGAATCATTTTTCTTCAGTGGTAATCAGCCAAAGAGTGATGCTAGGCTATAGGCAAAAAGATCCTACAGGACTGGAGGGCTTCTACAGCAACAGGACAGAGTCCTGAGAACTGAAAAATCTTATTTTCTGAGTCCAAAAGCTACAGTAGGATAAGTCTTCTGTAATATTTGTTAAAAAAAAAAAAGTCGTTGCCTTTACATGTGCTGAGAAAACACTCTTCTTCCCGGTAGTCATCTTTGAGAGCCATGCAAATGGTGCTTTGCAGATCTAGAGGCAGAGATGTACAGCGCTAACTATTTTTAGATTGCAAACTCTCATGGATTTTAAAAGGGCTTTTGCATATGGAAAGTTAAAAAAAAAAAAGAAATGCAAAGTATTTCAGGAAAAGGATAAAATGATTCATAGACGGTTACCGAGCAGAAGGAGGGGTTGGTGCTTTTATCTTCTATTGACAGTATTGCTAGTGGGAGCCTCGGCACCCTGGGGAGGGCATGGTGCCTTCCATCGCCCCACGAGGTCCCCTGCCAGCCTCACCGAGCGGCTCCAGCCCACCTCCCTCAAGGATGAGAAGGAAAACCACTATGTCAAAAAACCTGCTCTTCCAGCAGCTTGATGGGACAGTATGGCAGCCTCCACACCCGTCTGGCTGCCTCCACAGTTGCTCCTCTGCTGCACTAATCAAATTGCCCGGCCCAGTGTGAGGTGTATGAATGAGCAGGGAAGAAAGTTTGTGCTCTGAGATGACTCTGATGTGCTAGATGGTGGCAAACAACACTGAAACCCTCTGCCAAGGCCTTTCTGGCTCACAACTGAGGCACACATCATCTTGATGGGCAAAAAACATGCTCAAGAGAACGAGCGTTGTGTCTGTTTACATACAGAGTTGGACATTTCAAGTCACAGAAAAATTTCTGCCAGCTTCTTTGGCAACAGAAGCTCACTGGAGCAAAAATAATTAGACATTGCCTTTAGTTGATTTTTGATTAACCTTGCTCAGCTGTGGCTGTGCGACTGCCTGGGGAGCTCAGACCTCTGTCCTACCATGTAGCAAAATCCGAGGGCACCTTCTGTGGTTCTTAAGGCTTCCCCAGACACATGGGGCACTTTAGAGCTATCTGTGTATCACTCAGAGAGCAGCAGATGCATCTCATGATGATTTTATGTTGGCTGACGAAGTCATATGTCTTTGTACATTTATTTTATGTTTGTCTGCTTCCTTTGATACACTACTAACAAGGTGTTTCATTAGTCCTAGGGGGTGGAAAATGACTGTGCTTATGTATTTATCTCGCTTTTAAAGGGAGATAAGGGTTAACTGTGATGTCCCAGGTAAACACAGGCTGCTTAGCCCAGCATTAATCCTAGCAAAATACAGGCAATCACAACGGGATTCAATTGACTAAGAACTAAGGAATATGAATATAATTAATGCCAGTCAAAACAGTCTCATGGAAAGTGGATTGTCAGACTAACCTGATTGTTCTTTGATGAGATTATAGGTTCGCTTGAAAAAGTCGGGTTGAACGGCCGTAATATACCCAGACTCCTGAAGGGCATTTAACTTATACTACCATGAATTATCTGATTGCAAAAGCAGCAACACACAACATCGGCAGACTAAGAGCGTACATGGACTAAGAACCTGCTACCGACAATTCAAGTATTTGTCACTGGGGGAATCACTATGAATAGATGTGTTTCTAACACACAATCAAAACAATTCTGAATGACACAGAAACTGGTGATCCAGCAAACACTGGGCAAACAGGGCAGCCAAAGCAATCCGGATCACTTAGTAAATGAACACAGCCAGATACAAAGTAAGTACGTATAGGAAGAAAAGCGCACAGAATGAGAAGCTCAGCTGCACGACTAATGGCTAAATGACCAGGGCAACCGCAGGTGGGAACAAAGAGCCTCTTCACCTTTGCTCAGGCAGATAGGAACATACTGAACATATTTCCGGTGCCCAAATTTTAAAGAACTGAGCAAAAGGGTAAAAAAGAACTGCAAAGAAGTTGATTTCAGATAGCCAGGCAGGGAATAAGCCACACGTTTTCACCAGTGTAATTAACTGCTGGAGTCAAGGGTTAGGTAAGAGGTAGAGCTACTGCTCACCACAGTCTCCAAATCAGGACTGGAGGCCTTCTGAGATTACTTGAATCAAATGTAAGTTATGCTTTAGTCAAAGTCAAAATGCATTCAATATAGGTGACTGAATGAAAGATGTAGGAGGGATTATTGACCCTAATGACCATTTTTGGTCTTACACACCTGAAGCTAGGACTCAAAAGGAATTGAAGTCCACACGATTCCCTTTGTCACACAGTTTCCACGTGATATATGAACCAGTAATGAATCCAGCAAGAGTGCATGAGTTACGGTGACTCCAGACTGAGTTATGGGGACTCCAGTTTTGGGAGGGGTGGAGAAAGTATTCTAGATTTGGGGTTTTCTCAGCACTGAACAATGTTGCTTATGGGATTTGCTGGTACCTCTAGGGACCAGTGCACAAAAGAAAACCACAGTGTAATACAAATAATGCATAATACATCACTGATAGCTGGGGAGAAGAATTATGAAGACTCATTGTTTTCTGCTCACATTTTGCAACTGCACCTACATACCGGGGCAGCATTTGATTACTGCCGCCTTCTTTTCTAGCAGCTTTGAAGTATTTTCCCTCTTGCAGCCCATGCTATATTATCTGTGCTTTTCTGCCATTTAGGGATTAGTTCAATTAACTTTGCATGGATCTACCCTATGCACCTCAAACTATAGCTAACAAACCCGTAGCTTCCTAGCATTTATACATGTCAGAAATGTGTTATGTACTTATTTTCTTTGCTAAATTCCAATTTGCTTTTAGTATCATTATTTGAGGTGTATTTTTGCCTGCACTTAAAGTGTAGAGGATATAGGTCCAAGACACTTTGTTCTTATCCAATACCACACTTTAAGTATCTTGGTGCACCTTAAGAGTGAGAAGTCCTAAGTTTAAAGGGGCAAGAGAAGTCTTTCACAGAGAGGCTTTCCATTAGGTGGGGTTTTTCTGTCTGTTTTCTCCCTGCCAGTGGCTGCTAGATGTTGCTGAACTGGAGAAGTTGTCAAGCTTTTTTTTTTCAGGTTTTATTTGAAGATGAATGGGAGATATATTTATGCTTCTCACTGAGACAACAGCAATTTAAGAGATACTGTTCAAGGTAAAAGCCAAATCTATTTCATTTAAAAGTATGGATGCAACTTTGAATAGTTTCTTTAAGTAACCAAAAAAGGAGCCTAAAAAGGGAATTAGGTTTATAAGCTGCAATGTCCCTTAAAGAACAAGATAATTAGGTATAAAAGTATATGTTTGAAATGACTGTAACAAACCATCTGATGTTTAGAATTTGGAATTACAAGTACATCCCATCCTGAACACAGCTAACTAGTCTAGGACTCAAGATTCATATGGATGAGTACCAGCAGATAATTTAGCAGAGGGCACAGCTATAGGAATTCTGGCTGGAGATAAATTCCAATGCTTGATTACCATGATCGCAACCTTAAAAAAAGATTAACTTTTAAAAAAATCACTTAAAAAACCCCCAAATAATCAAACTTTTTATCACTGACTGACAATATTATTTAGCAGGGTATTATTTACCTGGAATGCTCTCCAATTTTCTACGAAGTTCCTCATTTTCTTGTTGCAATGAAATTACCTCCTGCTCTAGCTCTTGACACCGAGGGCAGTAACCTTCTTCCTCTTCCTCCTCTTCCTCCTCTGGAAGTGTAGAAGATGATGGGTGACCATGAGATTCAGATGTTGCTGGAGACGTCCATCCACCTAAAGTGTGTACTGGAGAGGTTGAAAGTGGATCCACATCTGCCAAATGGCTAAAATCATTTACTGATGAGGTGTTCTGAGAAGGGAAGCTCCCAGAAAGCAAATAGTTCTGAAGAGAATCGGTAAAAACTCTCAGAAAGGCTGAGGTTTGTTGTTTCTTTTGCATATACTGCATCTCTATGTCTAAAATGTCTGATGTCTGACTATGGACCATTTTCCCAAGCTGACATTGCTCTTGTCTTTCACTATAATTTGGGTTTTCCTGCTTTATACAAGAAATCATGGATTGAGAGTGATTGTTGTCCAGTAGTTTTCCACCACAATTTAAAAGACTTAGAACCCGGCTGCATTGTTGGGCAAAGGCATCCAAAATCATTCGACTCTCTGCAACAAAAGAAAAGATGAATCACAGAAACCTAATGCAAAAGGTTAAGCCAGGCAGTAGCAGCTAGATGAATGTACACAACCGTTTACAGTAGCATGCATTTTATTTCTAAACACATTAAAATTATGGCTTCTGCTTTAATACTTCTGCAACACTGTGATTTAAAACAATCCCGACTTTGCTTCTATTTTGAGAGTGCCCTTGTGCCCTTGCTGTTAATCAGAAATGCATTGTGATGATAGTCACTGCTTACTGCCATCTTCTTTCAGAGGGATTAAGGCAGGAAAATGGGGAAGAAGATACAAATTCCATCCGATCTGCTACAAGTAAAAGTTCAGGCAAGTACCTCTCTGGAAGCCTATTTCAAGCCGCTGGTGGGCATTGCCTGTACATATTTGCAGAACTTTGCATTACACCTTCTTCCTATGCCCTGCTCCTCTCCACCAAGGCTTCCAAGCTTTGTTTTGTCTCCCTTTCACCTTTGCTGCACTTGCTTGACACTGTGCACAGGACACTTCACATGACCCACCCCCAATTCTATGGACTTTGCCTCTGTTCCTTTTGTTCTAGGTTCCAGGGATGTCCAAGAACAACTCAAGAATGATAAGCATAAAACCCTCATCTTACACCAAGGAAAGGCACATCAAATGTACAGTGTGAAGCTCCTCTGGTCAGAGGAGGTATTTTTTCTGTACTGTTGACCTCCTGTGAGTTTATTGGTAGGCCAGTATCATGCAGTGGAGAGCAGTGCAGAGATCTTCAAACTGCTCTGGACATAATCAAGAAACTGTACATGAGGCACTGGGAAACTGTACTGTGCAGCAGTTTGTGGAGGCAGCAGTTTGGTTCTGGAAGCAGGACAAGGATGTCATGTGGCACCTAGTCAGCCTTGCCTCTAATGACAGGAGGTGTCACGTCTCAGGATGCAATAGCAGCTACAACCTAAACCTCTACAGTAGGGTGGTTCATTTCTGCAGTATCGGTGTATGTAGAGCCAAGCTGCTCTAACAGTTTCTGGACCCAGATGCAAAAATGACCAAGACATTTGCCTCTAATTTATGGTATGACCTGTTAGGTTCACTGATAAAAATAATGGCTTTTAATTTTTTTAGCTTATTCATAGCTGAGTTCCTCTAGGTGTCTAAAAAGATGTAACTAACATTTTGCATAAGATTTAAAAAAAAAAAAAGACTGGTATGTTTAAGCGCTGCCAATTTTGGAGAGCTCTTCTCAAGCAGGCTTGACTTTTAGAAAGTGACAAACGCATTTACTTTTGAAAAGGCAACCTGCTACAGATGCATGAGACTAAGCACCCCAGACCTTCATTTATCTTAACTTCATCACTAGAGGCAAAAACATAGCCTCATCACACTGATAATATGTAAAGAACAAAAATGTTCAGAATTCAGGTCTTTAAGAGGTGGCATTTCTCACGGTACTTCTCCATGATTGAGAAGATACACCTTCTGGTGGAAAATCTACTTCACACTGAGGTTAGTATAGCTGGCCTGAAGAATATTTGAAACATCACTAATTTGCATTTTTACCATCTTCCAGATCTCTGCAAAGAGGGCAGGGCTGAAGCAGCACACAAATGCTTTTGGTCTTGAATGCAGCTGGAGGAAACCTCCCCAGCACAAAACCCAAGGATGTGATCTCCCAAAGACTGAACCATATGAACAAGGACATGAGGCGGGCAGAGTCAGCACAGGTGCAGTGCTGGGCTATGAGGCTGCCCAGGGCCAAGGCGGGAGAGCCCACCTAAGTATGTGAAGGATTGGGGTAGACCACAGACCACTTAAAGCATCCTTGCAATCAGACTCCTGTGCTAAGGAGTCGTACCACACCCTTGTAGATGGGCTCAGACCAACCATGGCAGATTCCTCCAGCACATCTTTGATCCAAAACACCCTCTGTCCACACTACAAATTCAAAAGGGCAGAAACGCACAGTCACTGCTACCTCCTTTGCTGCTTCCTTTGCACCAGTGAGGTGCCAGGTGCTCTGTAGCTTCCATACCTGCTGTCCCTCCTTCCCTTTTACTGCATTAACATAAGGCCAGCTGTCTTTAACCCTTATGAACAACAGATGTAATAGAAATTAAAAGAATAGAACCGTGGTGATGTTGCAGCTTTCTAACTGGGACCTACTGATAAACCAAAAGAAAATCAAGAAACTCAAGCGCCTATCACTAACAACCTCAAGTTGTGCTTTCTTCACCTTATGTCTTTACTTCCCACATTTCCCCTTTAAAATTATTACAGGATGATATTGATTGGAACTTTGCAATCCTACTACAGAGCAGTTTTTTCATTCATTTTAATCCTATAATCCGATTCCAGTCCTGAAGTCATATTTACTGTTTGTATTTTAATCATTATGGTCCCTGTTGACAAAACAGTTACTCATTCTTTGTGTATTCTTGTTGCAAGGGGACAAAATATGAATGAAACAACTGAAAAGGATTAGTATAAGAGATGTTATTCTAATATTACAGTTTCTCCTAAAATACGGCAAAAAATAACCTGACATTTCAAATACCAGCCTTAAAGATGCTATAATACACACTAACATCAGTAAAGATAAAATTAATGATTAGTTTTGTTGTAAAATTGAATGTATTAGGCACATTCACTGTGATAATGGCTTGAAATGTAACTGAAATTTTATACAGAAATGACAGTATTGATTTAATCTTCAGTTCAGTATCAGATCTACTACAAAGACACAATAACAGCAATCACTGTTTTTTTTCTAACTTTAACCCATACTCAAAGATATAAAAATGAAAGTCATGAGAAGGCAGGGTTATTCTGAATTGCTAGCACAAAGATTTGCAAATGCTTTTTTTGTGGATACCACTGGGCAGCAATAGTGAGAGATGCTCTCAGCACATGTTCTGGAAACATCTGGCTCTGTGCTGAAGAGGGTACCGCTTTGAAGTGACTTCTACACCAGTAGCAGTACATGTGCCCACAGTCTGAACAGCCCTAAGTGAGAATGATAACTATGATTGTTTCTTGTGATGGAGAAAAAATAAAAACGAATGCTGTCTATTTAGCATATATCATAGAAATAGGGATTTCAGCTTTTATGGACTGACTGCAATTAGAAACACAAGCATCCCTAAGAAATGACAAAAAGTTGGTTTTATGTGATTACTGAATAATCAGAATCTATGATTCTTAATTGATTTAATGTAATGTATATATTTTCTAGAAAAGGAGGATTCTATTGAAATGACTGCACCACACTAAAACAGTGTAAACAGTTTATGAAAGTCTTATTGTGATATTCCTTTTCCTTATTACGATGCTCACTAATCATGTAATTCTAATGTCTCTGACCCCGCAAGTCTTCAGTCTTACAGAACTTTTGTCAGCTGTAACAAAACTTTTGCCTGAAGGTGGATTTGCCAGATCAGGACCATAAAGTGCTAGCAGAGCAGGATTAAATTGCTAAAAGTATTAAGTATTCTTAACTAATTAGTTGAGAGTGCAAGCAACCAGAAAATACTATCATATGGCAAATCAGGTATCAACTCCCAGATATAGCATTCTTCTTTACATCTTTTTCTCACTGATGCTGAACTATGGGGCTTCTTAGCTACCCAACGGCCAGACTAAAACCTGGGGTTTAGTAAGAACTTCTGAAACGCAACCTGATGATTTACACTGATGCATCAGAAAGGATGTCTGGAAAGATTGGCAAGCCAATCAGCTTTCCCTATACCTGAAGATCTTTTCAATACTTAGACCAGACAGATTTATTAATAAGGCATTGTGTGCGTCTCAATGACTCTGGATTCAGGTCATGGCTTTTCCACAGACTCCTTTATAATCCTGGGCAGTTGGTTTATGAAGTTATCTTTATAACTGAGTGGGTCTGAATACCATACATTCTCCCCTGCAGGGAACATATTCATTGTTACTCAATTTTCAGCAAGATTCCAAAGTTCAGGTTCCTTAGCAATTTCAATCATCTCACTCTTCACCTCACTTGTTGATTCTGACACCTCCCATGACTAAGCAATGCTTTCTTGGGCATTCTGCATGAAGATCACTGAAACAGTCCACTGGATGACGATACAACTGTCTGGCCATTTCACTACTGATTGGATAGATCTGCTTCCAGATGAGAGTTCCCAACTTTTCAGTAGAGGCCAAAATAATGATCTTCACCTTCTCTGTTCACTTAAAAACTTTTTTCTGTCCAGGCATGATAGAATTGTATTAACTGGTCATGTTAGACATGCCAGGTTGTTGGCACTGGAATAACACCACTAAGACAGCTCTGCTCTTCTTTCTCTGCTTTCCATGAAAACTCACCTTACATTTTAAGACACACTGTTAAGGTCTACATCATGCTTTCCTACAAAGACAAGTTTCTTTGGTATACTATGATACTGTTTAATGTACATGCTACCAAAGAGAAAGATACACATTGTTTTCATACCAGGAAAATAATCTGAAGAGACTAACAAAGACTAAATGATTAATAGATTTTGTAGGAGAAAATGGGTATCTGCTGGCGCTTTGAATGCATCTGTGTGGTTTACTCTGCAGCAGCAGCAGTCAGAGTAACCACTATTTACTCAAGGAAAGACATGGCTCTCATTGCAGGGCAGCTCCACATTTCTCTTCGTAAGATGACACTTCTCATGCAGGATCTTTCCATACAAGATGGGATCTCAAGCTAGATTTTTCTTCACCATGGCACAAGGTGGAGAACACATGCTCTTCCTCCTTTCCCTAACCCCTCCTCCTTCCAAAGTCTGGAGGCCAGGGTGGTCTCTTTGAAAGGGACTGAGGAAGAAATGATTCATCTTTGGGAAGAGCTCTAAATATTAGGAAAAGCTTCAAAATTATGGAAGCATCCTTGCTTGTGACTGTATTTGAGGTGCCCTCTCTCAAGAGGTGCTCTGCATCCCAAGGAGCCAGAAATGCCATGCCCAAAGATTAAGAATCAAGTGTTTAAGTTGCTAGCACAGAGTTGGACATCCCAGGAATGCTGTTTTACTAGCCAGCTTGCTTACTGTTGCCTGCACAAGTGAAGAGGTATCAGGAAAAAAGAGAGGAATCTCTGAAACGGAACTTATGAAATGGGTGTCCCTACAAAACTGAGATCTACAGCCTTCCACCCCTTCATTCATGTAAGCACCCACCAAATGCTATGGGTAAGTTAAGTGGGAAAACTGTGCAAGTCATGGATGGTGACTGCCTGCCTTGTGGAGAACAACTTAGCCAACCTGCAGCTGCACACCTGCTAAGGGCAGGATCCTTCTCTCCCTACAAACACCCACCACCCGGGACATACACATCTGGCTAAGAGATGTTCTGGAAAGGGCCCAGCCCACACTCCTTGCTGCTGTGAGGAACCAAGGAGCTGGGTGGGCTGAGACCCTGCAGGGTGCTGGGCAAAGCATGGAGCGACTGTGCATGGAGCACATGCAAATGCTCCCATGCCCCAGGCGCAAAACGCCAGCTCTGTTTCCCCAGTAGTGGCCTGAGCTATTAAATTGCCTCACACATTTGTTAAGAGGATTTCAAGGCTCTGGATGACAGGATGGAAGCACCTCACATACATACAGCCCTGAGGTCCCAACCAGCTCATCCTCAACAGCAGGGGCTCACCTTACTGGTGCTACAGCTACTCCAACACAGGGCACTTGGTGGTTCTCTATCACCGAGCAGGAAGGCTAGGTCCACAGCTCAACAAAGCACCCGGACCTCTGGGATTACAATACCCAGGAGGTCTAAACCTTGTCTCTTGCTTTATCAGCCTCTGGTAACAACTAGCACAAAATCCTACTTCTGCACACTGTGGCAAGCTTTTGGTTTGTTTTCTCCTGTTCTGTTTTGCTCGTTACTTAACTCTGAGCTGAGAGGAGGGTATGTTGGGACCCACATAGGAAAGTAAAAGTAAAGTCTGGATGTGCAGTGATGAGACAGGGACTTGACAGAAATTCAGTGTACAAACAGCAGTTCCTTGACTATCTCTTTTAGCACAGGACTGAACCAATGACAAACTCTGAAGCCCATTCTAGCTCCTGGTTAGCGGAGTCTACAGGAACAGGAGAAAGTCCAAATTTCTGCTCATCAAAGCCCACAGGGCTTTGCTGTGAAAATGGCCTTGTATATCATCTACCAAACAGCTGAGTGTTTTCCATGGCATAATCTGCTTCTGTAAAGAAATGTAGGCGCCACATTTATCAGCAATGTTTTGATTGTGGGCCACAAAAAAAACCCACAACAAACTGAAATACCAGAATTTGGGCATTTAAATAAGAAATAATTTCAGAAAAAAGAAAACATGACCTTCTGTCACGAATCATGGGACTATGCGTCAGAGCCATGAATTTTCAGGCTAATCTATTCAAGTATTAAACTTTTTTGGTAAAGTACTTGAATTATTTGTAACAAGACATGATAAATTCATCCAGTACAGGGCTGCTTCTGAGTGAAAACAGGCATTAAAACATAGCCATATATCCTATTAACTAGCATATCTCCCTGTTTAGTAAGGAAATGTCATCACATTTGTTACAAAGGCAAACAGCAACATACCAAAACAGGATCCAATTTTTCTAAATAAATAAATCAATGATGTGTCAAAAATTAACAGATGAGTTAATATACCCGATGTTATCAAAACCAGATGGTGCTTCATAATATTCATCCTGTTCAGTCAAACCCTGAATATATTCTGGACCATCAGTATATAAAATAGGATGCTGCTATTTGTGATGGCAAACAAAAGCAATCATGCCTGCCAAGCACATACTATAACAGGCAGCATTTCAGCTCTGCTAGACAGAAAGTAATTAGAATGCTTTTAATGTCCAAAAGAATGATGCTGATAGGCTGCCACAGATGTGTAGATTTATGAATATTTATATGGTGGTTTATAGCTGACACTTTTATCAGTTGAAGAAGATAAAATATCTGCCTGACTCAAAAGCTTGACAGTCAGGTTAATAAAATCTCATTAAAGAGAATGACCTATGCAATTATATAGGATTTATTGTAATTCATTTTTGATTGTACTCTGCTTAAAGATGCAATTTCCCATTTCCTGATGCCAAATTTAGGTTGCATATCAAGATCTACGTGGGTTTTAACTCCAAGCCATCACTAGAAGAAAGATACGCGTTCAGCATCTCGGCATCTTACACCTTTAAAGAAAAAAAATAATAAAATAATCTGATCTCCTGTTCCTCGCTGCATCTTACGAAAACGGTGCAGACAAGCAGCCGGTCTATTTTCTTTCTGTTAAAACCACCACCTCTTGAACAGCAGCCTCTCCATTACCGGCGGCTCCCTCCGGCAGCCGGCCCCAGCCCGCCGCCAGCCCCCGGGGCGAGGGTCGTATGTGGTGGGGGGTCTGTGTGTGGGGGAGCCCGCAGCCCCCATCCCGCTCCCGCCTGCTGCAAAGTGCCCCGCGAAGTTGCGCGGCGGAGGAGAGGAGTTGCGGGTACCTGCGCTCAGCTCCGCGCCGCCGCC